CATATTTCACCGACGAAGAGTTTCCAACACTCTGAGGGGTCTTGGGAGGCTTGAAAATTGATGGGATCACAGTCGCTCGGCTGTTCAGTTTCAGGTTCGCTGTTGTCTTTTTTGATGTCGAACAGGTCTTCATCCCCCCTCGGCGATGCAGCACCAGACCGAACAGGTTGGTCTATTATTCCCAAGTTCGTCGTCGCATTGCCGGGCTGCAGCACGATTCCGACTGGAGGTTCTATGGACGGGCGCGCAAGTTCCGCGTCGCCAACATCGCCCTGTTGTGCAATTTCCATTGAGCCGTCATTCACCTCGTCGGCTACCACGGTGAGATCCACCGGGCATAGTTGGTGAATTTCAGGCGAGAATTCAGCAACAAAATCTACCAATGCTTGTGCTTTTATGACTGTTCAGGGTTGAAACTTGATGTCGAATTGTCCCAATTCGACCGCCTACTTCAGGATTCGACCGGAGAAATCCGCCCGCTCGAACAAGGCTTTGAGGGGGAATTCGGTCAACACGACGATTGTGTGAGCATGAAAGTAGTGCACCAATTTCCTGGAGGCCATCATCAATGCCAAAGCAAGTTTTTACAGCGACAAATACCTCGACTCTGTCGGTAGCAGGGTTTTGCTCACGTAAAAGATAGGGAAATGCTGGATACCTTCTAACCGGACAAGCACCGCACTAACTGCGTGCTGAGAAACTGCCAGATAAAGGTAGAGTTCTTCGCCGGGCTTGGGTGTCACCAATAAGGGGGCAGAAGACAAATACGCCTTGAGCTCGGCCAAAGCCCTATCACATTCCTCATCCCATGAAAACTTGGACTTCAAGGCTCGAAAGAAAGCGCGGCAGCAATCTGATGACCGGCTTATGAATCGGTTAAGCGCGGCGGCCATACCGGCCAGATGTTTCACGTCCTTTGCCGAGTTGGGCTGCTTCAATACTTGTATGGCTTTGATTTGTGTGGGGTCAGCCTCAATGTCTCGGTTTGTGACTAGGAAGCCCAGGAATTTCCCGAATCCCACGCCGAAGACACACTTTGACGCATTCAGGCGTAGCTTGTGCTGTTTAAGAATGGCGAACATCTCAGCTAGGTCGGATAAGTGGCCGGCCTGATGCCTGCTTTTGACCACCATGTCATCGATGTAAGCCTCCATCGTCCGGCCTAGCAGAGGAGCAAACATTTTGGTCACCATCCTTTGGAAAGTCGCCCCGGCGTTCTTCAAACCAAAAGGCATGACTCGATAGCAGAATAGTCCCCTTAGGGTGGTGAAAGAGGTTATCTCGCAGTCGGGGCCATGCATGGCGATCTGGTGATAACCGCGATAGGTATCCAAGAAACTGAGCCTGTTATGCCCGGCCGTAAGATCCACCAGCTGGTCTATTCTGGACAGAGGAAAGCTATCTTTAGGGCAAGCTCGGTTGACAGTCTTGTAGTCAACGCAAACTCGCCACTTCCCATTCTTCTTGGGTACTACGACCGTGTTTGAAACCCCCCGAGGGTAATGCACTTCCTGGATAGCCCGTGCTTCTAGCAGGTTCCTCACTTCCTCCGCGACTACCTCGGCGTGGTGAAGAGCCGATCTCCTCGCTCTTTGAATGACAGGGCGTGCATCCGAGAAAACATTGAGTTGGTGGCAAATAAAGCTTGGATTAACGCCAGGCATGTCGTACGGCGTCCATACGAAGACTTCGATATTCGTCATCAAGAATTCTATCATCTCGGTCCTTTCTTGGGCGGTCAGGCTTAACCCTAGCAGAAAGAACTTGTTTGGACTTTCGGCGTCAATCCGCACTTCCACCAACTCTTCAACAGCCTTGTCCTCGGCCTTGGCGCCCACATCATCAAGGACACTCTGGCCTTCCGGTCCTTCAATCATTTGCACGAAGCCTTTGGCAGCTCGGCTCCTATTCACTGCCACGAAACATTGCTTCGACATGACTTGATCGCCCCAAATTTCCTCAACTTCCCCCATAGCCGAGGGGAACCTCATAACCTGGTGGCATGTGGACGCTACTGTCTGCATAGCATGAAGCCATCCCCCACCCAAGATCAAGTTATATGTGTACGGTACCTTCAATACCCAGAACTTCACCTGCTTGACCACGGATCCGGCTTTCTTTCCCACTTTGCAGCTATCGAAGCCTTGCAAGCAAACTACTACAACCCCAAGGAGAAGATTGTGACCGGCACCCTAGATAAAGATATGCATGACGATGACTTTTTCTGGGTGTTTGGAAATTACGAAACAGCTGACGTGCCCGGCTGGTACATTAGCAAGAACTTCGGTTCGACATGTAAGTCGTGCTCACTGCCCGGTCAACCCATTTTCCTTCACTGTTCTGTACTAATGACTTTTCTTCTTTCCCACTTTGCAGCTATCGAAGCCTTGCAAGCAAACTACTACAACCCCAAGGAGAAGATTGTGACCGGCACCCTAGATAAAGATATGCATGACGATGACTTTTTCTGGGTGTTTGGAAATTACGAAACAGCTGACGTGCCCGGCTGGTACATTAGCAAGAACTTCGGTTCGACATGTAAGTCGTGCTCACTGCCCGGTCAACCCATTTTCCTTCACTGTTCTGTACTAATGACTTTTCTTCTTTCCCACTTTGCAGCTATCGAAGCCTTGCAAGCAAACTACTACAACCCCAAGGAGAAGATTGTGACCGGCACCCTAGATAAAGATATGCATGACGATGACTTTTTCTGGGTGTTTGGAAATTACGAAACAGCTGACGTGCCCGGCTGGTACATTAGCAAGAACTTCGGTTCGACATGTAAGTCGTGCTCACTGCCCGGTCAACCCATTTTCCTTCACTGTTCTGTACTAATGACTTTTCTTCTTTCCCACTTTGCAGCTATCGAAGCCTTGCAAGCAAACTACTACAACCCCAAGGAGAAGATTGTGACCGGCACCCTAGATAAAGATATGCATGACGATGACTTTTTCTGGGTGTTTGGAAATTACGAAACAGCTGACGTGCCCGGCTGGTACATTAGCAAGAACTTCGGTTCGACATGTAAGTCGTGCTCACTGCCCGGTCAACCCATTTTCCTTCACTGTTCTGTACTAATGACTTTTCTTCTTTCCCACTTTGCAGCTATCGAAGCCTTGCAAGCAAACTACTACAACCCCAAGGAGAAGATTGTGACCGGCACCCTAGATAAAGATATGCATGACGATGACTTTTTCTGGGTGTTTGGAAATTACGAAACAGCTGACGTGCCCGGCTGGTACATTAGCAAGAACTTCGGTTCGACATGTAAGTCGTGCTCACTGCCCGGTCAACCCATTTTCCTTCACTGTTCTGTACTAATGACTTTTCTTCTTTCCCACTTTGCAGCTATCGAAGCCTTGCAAGCAAACTACTACAACCCCAAGGAGAAGATTGTGACCGGCACCCTAGATAAAGATATGCATGACGATGACTTTTTCTGGGTGTTTGGAAATTACGAAACAGCTGACGTGCCCGGCTGGTACATTAGCAAGAACTTCGGTTCGACATGTAAGTCGTGCTCACTGCCCGGTCAACCCATTTTCCTTCACTGTTCTGTACTAATGACTTTTCTTCTTTCCCACTTTGCAGCTATCGAAGCCTTGCAAGCAAACTACTACAACCCCAAGGAGAAGATTGTGACCGGCACCCTAGATAAAGATATGCATGACGATGACTTTTTCTGGGTGTTTGGAAATTACGAAACAGCTGACGTGCCCGGCTGGTACATTAGCAAGAACTTCGGTTCGACATGTAAGTCGTGCTCACTGCCCGGTCAACCCATTTTCCTTCACTGTTCTGTACTAATGACTTTTCTTCTTTCCCACTTTGCAGCTATCGAAGCCTTGCAAGCAAACTACTACAACCCCAAGGAGAAGATTGTGACCGGCACCCTAGATAAAGATATGCATGACGATGACTTTTTCTGGGTGTTTGGAAATTACGAAACAGCTGACGTGCCCGGCTGGTACATTAGCAAGAACTTCGGTTCGACATGTAAGTCGTGCTCACTGCCCGGTCAACCCATTTTCCTTCACTGTTCTGTACTAATGACTTTTCTTCTTTCCCACTTTGCAGCTATCGAAGCCTTGCAAGCAAACTACTACAACCCCAAGGAGAAGATTGTGACCGGCACCCTAGATAAAGATATGCATGACGATGACTTTTTCTGGGTGTTTGGAAATTACGAAACAGCTGACGTGCCCGGCTGGTACATTAGCAAGAACTTCGGTTCGACATGTAAGTCGTGCTCACTGCCCGGTCAACCCATTTTCCTTCACTGTTCTGTACTAATGACTTTTCTTCTTTCCCACTTTGCAGCTATCGAAGCCTTGCAAGCAAACTACTACAACCCCAAGGAGAAGATTGTGACCGGCACCCTAGATAAAGATATGCATGACGATGACTTTTTCTGGGTGTTTGGAAATTACGAAACAGCTGACGTGCCCGGCTGGTACATTAGCAAGAACTTCGGTTCGACATGTAAGTCGTGCTCACTGCCCGGTCAACCCATTTTCCTTCACTGTTCTGTACTAATGACTTTTCTTCTTTCCCACTTTGCAGCTATCGAAGCCTTGCAAGCAAACTACTACAACCCCAAGGAGAAGATTGTGACCGGCACCCTAGATAAAGATATGCATGACGATGACTTTTTCTGGGTGTTTGGAAATTACGAAACAGCTGACGTGCCCGGCTGGTACATTAGCAAGAACTTCGGTTCGACATGTAAGTCGTGCTCACTGCCCGGTCAACCCATTTTCCTTCACTGTTCTGTACTAATGACTTTTCTTCTTTCCCACTTTGCAGCTATCGAAGCCTTGCAAGCAAACTACTACAACCCCAAGGAGAAGATTGTGACCGGCACCCTAGATAAAGATATGCATGACGATGACTTTTTCTGGGTGTTTGGAAATTACGAAACAGCTGACGTGCCCGGCTGGTACATTAGCAAGAACTTCGGTTCGACATGTAAGTCGTGCTCACTGCCCGGTCAACCCATTAGCGGAAATGGGGCAGCCCGACGGCATCACCTCGGCCTCCTACGACCGTGCTATGTAACGAGTCCGACGGCGCCACTCGCCGAGCTCCATCACAACCGAGCTCAGTAACATTCCGGTACGACTGAGCTCCAAACAGATTAAGCCGGTATTCAGAAGACCTTTCCCGCCAAGCTAAATGTGCGAACAACGAAACCCGGGTTGGTCGACAATCACCTCAGCCAAGTTAGCTCAGCCCAAACTTGGGACCTGGGACTCGACCGAGAAAACCAAATCTGGATAGGCCCAAGTTAGTTCAGCCCAAACATGGGGCCTGAGCCTCGACTGATCAAACCAACCCTGGAAAAGCCCACGTTAGTCTGACCCAAACACGCTCAGACCTCTCTCTGCCCGGCTTCTACTACGGCCCAAAGCCAAATTATAAATCTCTCTCTCAGTTGGGTATAGGTTGAGTAAAAGTTTACACAGATCAACACAACAGCTAACAGTATCTGCTTTGGATACAAACATAAAACATGTATCAAATTGCATTCTGACAAAAACATACATCTCATTAAATCGCATATCTGATATGATGAACTTAATCTCAAGCTGATTAAGGTTTAGAGGGTGATGGATTATTTGGGTCGCTAGACTAGATTTCAGACAAGTAATGAGTAATTTACCCTCAATTTTAAGTGAGTTGTCGAGGCCTACAGGTTAATGGAGTAAAGACTATATTCTAGACCAGTACTAACCCCTGACCAGTTACCTTAACTGCAGTTTCAACGAGATTTACAAGTCCAATGGGCAATTTAATCCAAACACCATTCTTGCCCTGTAAAATACAACAATCTAGCAAGTTAGTTCAAAACCAACAATTCAGGCTTCTGTATTTCATACTAATACAAATTATTTGACCACATGAAAATCAAAACTTTTTGGCATGGCTTATTAGGGAGAAACCCTCCACGACTAAGTTTTGTCTCATGGGGACCAATATAGCCTTTGTTTGGATATGCTCCTCTTATGTTTCAAATCAGGTTTTAAAGAGTCATGAAGCCAGTTGGCGCAAGAAAAATCTTTTATGGTTTTAGAAACGTATCTACAGCTGCAACTGTTTCCCTCAATGAAAAGACCAGATCCTGTAATTTTATTTTATTTTAATTTTTTTATCACAGATATGTAATAGCAATTAACAAACAATTCGAGTAAACTTGTTATATTTTCATATCCCTTAAAAAAATTCACCTGTTATTACTAATCAAACTGAAGTTAACAAAACGATTTCACATATTAAAGTAACAAAGCAAGCATCAATTCATTCTTAAGGAATATGACCTGTTGCTTCCACTGTGATATTGAAGCCCTGAGCAGAGAAAGAAAGGCCTTGGAATCCATAGGTTCCTTCATTTCCACTATTACACCTCCATGATCATCATTAACAGCAAAAAGTAATTCAACCTGTTGAACTCCATTTTCAGCAACCACTTGGTCCATTAAACCCGAGACTTATCTGATCGTAAATGAGCACCAGCTGAATAAACATGAAAAGCATGAGATCAGCTACACCAAAAATAAATATTTTTTTTCCTCTATTTGATTTTTCAACTTCCAATCATTCCAAAATCAACTCAACAAATTGAAGATTTATGAAAGACCCATAATATAAGGTTTCTAGCTTAAGCAAGCCCAGATTATGTAATTCTCTCGTCTTAGCTGAGCTAAAAATTTCAGTAGCATTTGAACTACCAGCAGATAAATAGGTAACTAAAGGCATAATTATAATAACTGTCCACCAGGTAAATGGTTTCTAATCTCAAAATTCCTGTATGAAGGCACAGTGAATTGGAAAAATCATTCAAATCACCATTGAAGTCCATCCATAAATTCACAATTAGCATGTTAAGCTTTCTCTTCTACACGTTTTTGTTATTTCTAAAATAAAAATTCATAAGAAGCAAATCTAACAAAAATTATCAAATCACCGTTGAAGTCCATCCATAACTTCACAATATTAGCATATGATAAGCTTTCTCTTCTGTACATTTTTGTTATTTCTTAAAAAACTAATCTAACATAAAAATAAAATAAAAAATAAAAACTCACAGATTGGCTTGAAATTGCAATTAATCAGAAAAATGTCAGATAGAATCAAAACCTAAAACATGAATCCATTAGAAACTTCGTCGATCAATGGAAAGTCCCTCCGTTTGTTTTGCCAAAAAAAATATAAAAATCGGGAAAACACATCACTTGCAAATGCAAATTTAAACTTTCTCGAGAAAATTGAAGGCAGTATGAAAATATTTTCTATCAAAACAAACAAATGTGAGTATACCTTTTCGTTGGTAATCCGCTGACTTCAAGCTAAGTATAACTACCACTGCCAGTGATGGATTGAGATATATATAGAGTCATAATGTGTGGACAAAACTAATCTGCGCCGAGTGTGTCACGATGCGCACCAGCTAATGAGCGCACTTGGCGCGTCATTTGGGTCACACTCTCACAGTTAAGCCGCCCTCAGTGAAAAAAATTATTAGTTGGTTCAGATCACACGTTACGTTAGATCAATCACAAATCATCTAATCCAAATTATGGGTTTTAGGGTGAGGCGCGGGTCGATTGTAGTCACGAAACCTTCAATCCATCATCTGTTTGTCAGATTAACGGATTTGAAAAAATTAATCCGTATCCGTCTGTCAATCCGGCGGATGTAAATTGAGCAGATTGGCGGTTTGGCGGATGGATGCGAATCGGTTTGGCGATTTAAATTTTTATAAATTTTTAACATAATTCAACTTGTACACTTCTTTAAAAAATAAATAAATAAATAAATATTACAGCCAATGACTTAAAAAAATATTACAATCACTGCATGCCTCATCCAAAGTGAAAAAGTTTGAAACTTTAGAATATCACAATCACTGCATGTCTCATCTACATAAAATATTACAATCTGTGATTCTTAAAATATAAAAACAATTCAAACCACCAAAACCATGAACGGAGCAGTATAGATTGTATGTCTTTATATTGTTACATCTATACCTATTTTTGAAAACAAAAACCAACCAGCATATATCATATTTTCTATTTATTATTTTTAGAGATAGATTTAAAAATCAAAAAATATAGATAAATAATACATTTATTTTTTTCAATTCAAAAAAAACATTTAAGTTGAAAAAAAAATTTCAACAGAATATTTAAATTCTTTTTTAATTGAAAACATAAACAGAATATTGAAACAAACTGAAAACATAAAGTTTTATAAATTACTAGGGTTGCTCGCGATTTGGCGGTTCAATTGCGGCTAAAGGAATCTCAAATCTGTCATCTGTCCGCCAGATTGGCGGATTGGAAAAAATCAATCCGCAACTGTCCGCTCGTGACGCATTCGTCAAAAATACGACGGATCGGTTCGATTCGATTCGATTTTAACAGATCAGTATATCTGTTGTTCATCCCTAATGGGTTTCATTCACCTCCCCACCAACTACAATGAATGAAGAACACTACGTGACGTTATTGGTTAGTCTATCATGTGATTCCTCTCCATAAATCACAATGAATGGAGAGCATCACGCGTTGCTATTGGTTAGTCCGTTACGTGGTGCTCAATGCGCATTATGATTGGTAAAGATATGAAATCCATAATTTTGTATTAATTGATTAAAACTATGAGACAATGATGCTTTGCAATTGACTAGAGAGATATAGGGTTATTTTGGAAATATAGTTAAAAATAATTTGTTAGTTTTTTTTTTTTTTTTCAATATGTGAAGATAAAGGCCTTGTTTGGTTTGGCTTTGGAAAAAAGATTTTGGAGAAATTTTTTAGAAATTTTGTTTGGTTTGTAATTTAGGGTTTTTTTTTATTAAAGTCCCTCGTATTAAAATTTTATATTTTCATAATGTCTAAGATCCCTCAAGTTGATCCGGAGAAAATTAGTCCAGGAAAAATTAGTCCAAAGAAAATTCATGTCACAGAAAAAATTGGTCCAGAAAAATTTTGGGAAGAATTTCTTTGAACCAACCCAGAGAAAATTTAGTTAAAAAACCAGAGAATTTCTATGGTTTCAACCCAGAGAAAATTCAGTTCAAATAAAAAAAAATTCAATTCACAATTTGGAACCCGGAATGCTTAATTTGGAAATCTAGAGAAAATTCAGTTCAAATAAAAAAAAATCAGTTCACAATTTGGAACATGGAATGCTTAATTTGGAACCTAGAAAATTTCTCTAGACCAACATTACTATTGCTATTGCTTGTGGTGAACCCAACACAACTGCAATTGTTCCAGCACTTTTCCATATAATCGCTAATGCTTAAGCCCGAATTACCGTCGCGCTGACTAACAGTATTTCCTTCAAACCTCGCTTGCTTTTGCATGAACGTATCTTTTCTGCTCCGGCATGAGGGAAGCCCGAAATGGCTCACACAACCATCATAACTACTTGATTGATACCCATAACAAAATAAATATAGTGTAATAAAAAGACTACTACTATCAACAATATACCCCTCTGGCTCCAACTTCCACATCAGTAGTGGTTCATCATAAACAAAGTATGTGAGATACTTTTCTTCTTTGTTTGATACTGGAAGAAGGTTGTAATGGAACGCAGAATTAGGACCATTCAATATAGGCATGTTCGGGAAATTTTGATATGACAAAAGCCCACTCGTCCAGTACCGCTGTCCATTCCGATAAATCGCCAATTCACCTGAACTGATGAGCAATTCGAGTTCCTCCCAGGTCAGCTTAAAGGTTCCCGAAGCACAACATATGTTTGGATACTGATGATCAACAACAATTTGAAGAAGAAGAAGAAGCAGACAGGTACCCCGAAGAATCGTTCCAAAGTTGGGCCAACTATGGGAAGGCTCTGAAGCAAACTCCGGCGAGGCTGATGGACCGAGTCTTAACTCGGTCACTCAATTCGGCCGAGTTGGAAGTGAAGGCTCGGAGCAATAACGAGATGAAGAGAACTCTTACTTTGTGGGACCTCATGTGGTTCGGTATGGGTGCTGTGATCGGCGCCGGAATCTTCGTCCTCACTGGACTTTGGGCCAAAACCGTTACCAGACCAGCTGTCGTCTTGTCCTACGTAGTCTCCGGCGTCTCCGCCTTGCTTTCTGTTTTCAAATTGTAAAGCACAGTTCAGGGGAAGTGCTGCTCTGTAGTTGAGAAGCAGAGACAAAGAGTCAAATTTCTCTAATATATGTTTAGGGACCTTAGATATCAAAAAATAATTTTGTGGATCTCTTCCATTATGAAAAGTGGGAGAGAGACCCTAGACTAATTTTCCCTTATAATTTTTTTAAAAAAATTTTCAAAATTACTTTCTCTCTCCTTTCTCCTCTCTCATTTTCAATCACTTTTTCTCTCTCCTTTCTCCTCTCTCCTTTTCAATCACTTTTTGTCTCATATATATCTACTCAATTACAACAAAATGTCAAATCATTCAAAACTCTAAAACTATTTTCAAAATATACAACCACACAAACTACAAAAATTTATAAACTCTCTTCCCAAAATATTTTTTGAAAATTTATCTTCCAAAGTCAAACCAAACAAGGCCGAAGTGATTCAAAATAGATCAAAAGCTGAAAATTGATTTTTAATCATCTTTCCAAAATAGCCTATAGTCACGTGGTGTCCCTTGATTAATCAATAATTTTTCATCAGAGAGACTGACCACAAGATTCATCCGTGTTTAAGGGCTCGTTTGAAAATTATTCAGTGTGTTTGGCTTGAATTTTCTGGATTAAGTTTTTTGAAAATTGACTTTTTTGGTTTTCGTGTTTTTTTGTTTTTAGTGAATATTTTTTAAATTTTAAACATTTTATTTTTTACTTTTTTAGACGCACCTTACTTAGATGTATCTAAAAAGTAAAAAAAAATGTGAAAAAATATTTTAAAAAATTAATAAATACATAAAAATATAAAAAAATGTACTGAATTCTTGTATTTTTTTTTTGTATTTTTGGTATTTAGTGAATTTTTAAAAGATTTTTTTTACAATTTTTTTACTTTTTAGGTGTATTTATGTTAGGTGTGTCTAAAAAGTAAAAAAATTGCTTAAAATATTTAAAAAAATTAGTAAAAACAAAAAAATACGGAAAATAAAAAAATAAAATTTTCTGAAAAGTATTTTTTAAGAAGTGGAAACAAATTTGACTTTTTATAAATATATATAGAGAGAGAGAGGGAATAAATTGGTAATTTGTAATAATTTTATAATTAAAATGTTTTTATTTCCAAACATGGCCTAAGGAGATGATGATCCAAACAAAAATCTTTGTATAGAATTTTCTTGCTAATTAATTGTCTACCATCCAAAATATCACGCTTTTTAAATTTATGAAGTTTATTATGATTTTTTAAATATATTAATTCAACAATTATAACGTGTTTAATTCATTATTTTTATTTTAAAATAATAATAATAAATATATGAGTAATGCTAGAAATCTAAAATATTCTATCAAAATGGGTGTGGGGCCACACAATGTGAGTTCCATATGGGTCCCACGCCCATATGAGACATTTAGTAAAATTTTTGAGACCTCTAATATTTTTGTAAATATATCTTAAAAAATTGACCCTACATCGTATCACCCTTTCATCCAAGACCATAGCCACTTCAAGCATCCCAAAACATGGTGTGGTCCATCATAATAATACAGTCCAATTTTGAAATTATCCAAATCATAATTTAAACAATAAATTCAAAGTTTACACGCATTTGGCACAGCTTGTAAGTAGCGTAAATCAGCTTTTGACTTATAATAAATTATTTTGGAGTGTTTGGTTGAGCTTATGAGAGATAAATTATAATTTAAATTAATTAATTTTGAGCTAAAAGTTATAAATTGCCTTAGAGGTGTTTTTTTCTTTTAGCTTATGTGCGCAGTTGGTTATGGAATGGCGAAATGACTTAAATGTCCCTTCAAAAAATTAAAAATTACTAAAATACCAATATATAAACTTGACAATCAAACACTATTCATGTTCGAAGAGAGAGCGTGAGAGGCGATTTCTGGCGATGATTTCCGGCCAAGATTCCAAGTTGTTCTCTCTTTCTCTCTTTCCGACGTTGGTTCATCGCTCTATTCTCTCTCTCTCTCTCTCTCTCACTCTTCAGCATTGGTTCATCGCGAAGCCTTAGTTCGTCGCTCTCTCTGTCTCTGTCTCTCTCTTTCTTCGGCGTTGGTTCATTGCCATCGCGATCTGAACTAACGCCGTTGTCGCGATTTACATTATTGTTGGTCTCTCTATCTTTGTGTGCCTTCGTCGTCATCCCCCCATCTCCCATCGCGATCAACCGTGCGAGACGATCTCAAACCCTAGTGTCAGTTCGTCACCACTGTGCCTGCCGAAGCCAGGGTTTTCAGTTTTAGTTTTTTTCTCTGTGTGTGCGTGTGTGTGGAGGTTTTTAGTGTTTTTTTAATCAAAATAATAATAATAATAATTAAGCATTTTAGCCATGAATGAAAATAAATTTGATATTAATTGAAAAAATGAAAAAAATTGATACTAATTAATTTATAATGAAAAAATGAAATATATACTAATTGATTTACAATGAAAACATGGAAATAATAATCTATAATGAAAAAATGAAAATAAGCCATTAATTGACACTAATTAATTTATAATGAAAAATGAAATAATTTTATACTAATTGATTTATAATGAAAAAATGGAAATAATAATCTATAATGAAAAAATGAAAAAAAAACCATTAATTGGCACTAATTAATTTATATTAAAATAATTTTATACTAATTGATTTATAATGAAAAAATGAAAATAATAATCTATAATGAAAAAAATGAAAATAAGCCATTAATTGACACTAATTAATTTATGATGAAATAATTTTATACTAATTGATTTATAATGAAAAAATGGAAATAATAATCTATAATGAAAAAATGAAAATAAGCCATTAATTGACACTAATTAATTTATGATTAAATAATTTTATACTAATTGATTTATAATGAAAAAATGGAAATAATAATCTACAATGAAAAAATGAAAATAAGCCATTAATTGACACTAATTAATTTATAATGAAATAATTTTATACTAATTGATTTATAATGAAAAAATGGAAATAATAATCTATAATGAAAAAATGAAAATAAGCCATTAATTGGCAGTAATTAATTTATAATGAAAAAATAAAAATAATAATTTATGTAATACTAATTATATTAACTTTTATTAATGAAATCATTTTTTTAAAATTAAAACTGAAAAAAATAACAAAATAATCATTTTTATATCATATAAAGACAAAAAAGACAATTACACAGTAAAAAGTTATTTTATAATTTATCAACCAAACACTACTCTGCTCCTTAAATCCATAATCCTACAACTGCACCAAACAGTTTAACAGCTTATGTTCATAGTTATAAGTTATAATCTGTTAAGCTATAATGTGTTGTTTTAGAAAGTTGGTAAAAAGTTAATTTTTTGACTTTTTTAGTCTATTCTTTTTTTTTGTGGGTAAAAATTGTGGATAAAAAATGTGAGAGATGATGCAATCTAAAATGGATAAAAATTAAAAACTAACTTTTTTTTTTCTTCTCAAAAGACCCTAATATATAATCACATTTTCACAATTCTATCAAACGATGCCATATTCCTACATGTATGGTATGTACATGTAAAGGGAGAGGCAGAGCACGGGAAGGAGTGCAAAAACATAGTCCAAATATACAATTTTTTTAGGAAAATTATAAATCTTTGGTAAATAGAGAATATAACTATAAATCATTTTTTCTTTTATAATTAAAATAAAGATGAGTTGAAGAAAAAGAATTACAAATGGATATACTATTTTTTATATGCCTTCAATCTTTCATTTTTCTCCGCTATATTCTCATTATTTTGGCAATTTTGATCATCAATCACTCCTTGCCAACAGTCATTGCAACACTTTCTCATGCCACCTTTAATCCATACCTCACCTTACCCTGTCATTGTGGTTACCCTTTGTACCACTTTGGTCATTCCTCACTACTCTCAATCCTTGCCTCCAAAACTATAGTCACTATGTGTTAATGCATGTGCAAATTTTGTGGGATTGTCACACTTGCTAGTTGCTTATATCGGATCCATTTCACCACAAGGTAAGGGATGTAAATGCTGAAAGAATTGACTTCATCACACTAAAAAAGAGAGAACGATTAGAATTATAATTTGATCGACCATGTGTTAAGTTGTGATTGTCTGAAACAAAATATATACCTAACTGTAATGTAGCATTCTTGTTGGCACAACAATAAAATTAATGTAAACAGTACACGCATTAATTTAAAATTAAATACACTTGTAATTAAAAAATGATCTTGTTATAAAGTGAAAGATGGTAGGAAAAAATTTGATATTTCTAAAATCTTACTGTTAAGAATTGTTATATTAATTGTTGATTTGCGTAAAAAATACATGTCACAATGCACTATTACATAATTTTAGTGAAATTAGATTATTACGAACACTTGTTATACAACTCGTCCTTATAAATTAGATTATTACAAACACTATTTAGAACATAATTTTTACTGTTTACACTATCAATGTGCATTCACACATCAATGTGAATATTCACATTATAAAATATGAATGTTTATATCATCAAATTACTAACCGTCCAAATATGAATGTTCGCATCACCAAATTGCTAACCGTCTAAAAAAATATTTATAAGAGTAGAAATATCCATAAAATACTTTAAATATGAGCATGGTCTGCATTGGATCGGATTGGGGTAAAATCAGGACCAATTCGTTATCTACGGTTCTTGAAAAATTGGAACCAATTCAATCCGTTTAAATCGTGGAACCAATCCGAACCAATCCATTTAAACACAGATTGGATCGGTTTAGGAACACGGATTCACATAATTAAATAACAAATATATATATATATATATAACACTTTAATTTCATAAAAATATAAACATAGCGCCATATTAGTTCCATAACAGCAACATGTTTTTCTATAACAGTGATATACTGTTCTAGAATTTAAACAACCATAAGAAAACTGGTTTTACCATAAGTATTTAGACTATTACAAATTAAAACTAAAAACTAACAAACAAAAGTAATAAAAGAAGATATTATACGGTTTTAGGTTTGAGTTTAAATTTTATATAGAATAAAAGAAGATACTATGGGGATGATGTATAATAAAAATATAGAGTATTTGTATACGGTCCGGATCGGTTCCAATCCGAAACTGTGGGGTTCAATCCGGAACCAATCCGTGGACTACGGATTTTTAATTCTTCAATCCGGAACCGAACCGCGGATTTAAAAAACTAATCCAAACCTATCGGATTGGACTGGACTGGATCGGATTACGGATTTCACGGATTCTTTGCTCAGCCATAGATTTGATATATTAAATGTTCAAATAATAGGACTTATTAGAATATAAAAATATGAGTGATGATTACAAAACCTCTATTTGACCCCCACAAATCTGGACTATTAATAATATGGACCCCACACACATATGCGTGACAAATCTAGACCACTGACTCCACACATACATGAAGGGTTAGGATGAGTTTGAAAGTGTGGGGATCATCTCCAAAGAGGGACCCAAATATTTTTCCTAAAAATATGTTATGAATTAATTAAGATACACTTAAAAAAGTTTTTCTAATAAATCTCCTTAACTAAAATGAACAAAAAAATAAAAACGATAATCTGGCTTTTGGGTTTCCTAAAGAAGCCAAATACTTCTTAACTACAACAGCAAGAGAAAGCTTCCCCTGTTTCTCTTCATTTCATTGATCAACTTTAGAGAGAGAGAGAGGGAGAGAGAGGTTTTCACGAAGCAAAACAGTCATGTCTCTGGGTTATGCAGAGAAGCTTTCCTACATAGAAGATGTTGGAAAAGTTGGAATGTCAGAGATTTTCGACCCACCTCCCGTTTTGCAAGAAAAAGTATGATTTTCTTTTGCCATTCCCTTTGTTTCTTTGCATTTTCTTTAATAAGCTTTAATTGTTATTGTCATTTCTCGGTTTAGGTAACTACTCTATTGATCTTCTTAAATGGTAATACTAATGATGGGTACTTAGGTTTATGCTTAAACTTTTGATTAAGCATGGTGTAATACTCTGATGTGGAACTTTGTTTGAAGTGCTAATCTGCATTGTTTAGTTCTTTGATGAGATTTGAAATATGCATATTGGGATTTTATTTTCATACTTGTATGAAATTTCAATTGTTGTGTGACAATGGAGTGCATGAAGTTCAATGGGTGCTGAATTTAATATATGGGTATTGTGGTTGTTTAAACCCTAAGACAAATCAAATTTGAATGTCGCCAAATTGATTAATCGCTATCGCGATTCTTCGAGTATGAAATTTGTTTATTCGTTCAGACACTATAATTACGGAGTTGTCGATGAATGTAAATTGATTGCTTTGATGTTAATCACTATTGCGGTTCATGGATTACCACATTTACTTATTAGTTCAGACTTGATAATTATGTAGTTGCTGAAGGATGCAAATTGATTGCTTCGATGTTAATTGCTATTGCGGTTCATGGATTATGAAATTTACTTATTGGTCCAGACTTGATAATTACGTAGTTGTCAAAGGATGCCAATGCCATAACCTTTACTCTTGCTATTGTGAAGCATTCTTCATGCAAGTGCAATACGTGCACAGGAATAAGTGCTAACTGTGCAAGGATGCGCGTGCAAATTTTGTGGGGTTGTCACAATTGCTACTTGTATCAGGAACAATTAACTCGTGCATATATTGTACTTATACCAAACAAGGGTAAGGGGTTAATTGAGAGGGTGTGGATCACACTAAAAAGATTTGGATTCATTTAGCATTCTAAGCTATGTAACATTGTTGTTGGCACATCAACCAAACTAATGCGAAAAGTATGTGCATTAATTTAAACACAATTCCAACTAAAAAAATTATATTGTTATCTAGTGAAAGATGATAGAAAAAAATTTGAAACCCCTCAAATCTCAACATTAAATTTAATAAGATTTGTTATATTAGTTGTTGATTTGTGTAAAAATATGCATTTCACAATCCACCGTCACATCATTTTGAATGAATTTAGACGTGATAGTTTAGTAAAAATCAAACACTTATGATGTAACCCGCTGTCATGTTATTACAAGCACTTATGACACAACCCACTGTCGCATTATTAAAAGTGCATTTAGAAGTAATATTTTAAAAATATCTAAAAAGAAATGATATTGTGAACAACTTGAATTATATTAATAGCCGGAATCTATGCACCTCTCTAGAAAATTGGCTTTTGGGTTTCCTAAAGGAGCCAATTACTTCTTAACTAAACCAGCAAGAGAATGCTTCCCTTGCCTCTCTTCATTTTTAGATCAACTTTAGAGAGAGAGGGAGAGAGAGAGAGAGAGAGAGTCATGTCCCTGGGTTATGCAAAGAAGCTTTCCTACATAGAAGATGTGGGTAAAGTTGGAATGTCCGAGATTTTTGACCCACCTCTCATTTGCAAGAAAAAGTAGGATTTTCTTTGTCATTCTCTTTGTTTCTTTGCATTTTCTTTAATATGTTTTTCTGGTTATCATCACTTCTCATTTTAGGTAACTACTTTGATGATGATCTTCTGAAATGGCAGTACTAATGATGGGTTCTTGGATTTTGTGCTTAAACATTTGATTATGGTGTAATACTCTATTGTGGAACTTTGTTTGAAGTGCTAATCTGCATTGTTTAGTTCTTTGATGAGATCTGAAATCTGCATATTGGCTTTTTTTTTTTCACACTCATATTGAATTTCACTACTTGTGTAACAATGTAGTGCTTGAAGTTCAATGGGGGCTGTAATTAATATATGGGTTTTGTGGTGGCTTGACCCTAAGACAACTCGAATGTCGTCAAATCGATTGTGCCGATGTTAATCCCTATCATGATTTGCGGAGTATGAAATTTGTTTATTGGTTCAAATTTGATAATTACGTAGTTGTTGAGGAATAAAAATTGATTGCTTCAATGTTAATCACTATCACGGTTCATGGATTATAAAATTTATTATTGGTTAGGACTTGATTATTATGTAGTTGTCAAAGGATGCCAATGCATCAAGTTGCAATTCGAAACTTTGATTGTGAAACAGAAATATTTATTGATTTTATCATAAATGCATATATGTGCAATGCATGTGACTAATATCTTTGTATGGAAAATTATAGATGCCTCAATAAACGCAAACTTGTATCTCAGGGACATATCTCCTCAAACTAAGAAGCATGAGCATGACATGGACACGACAAGTGGGGGACACTTGCACAATATATAATTTTATATATATTTGCCTTCTTAGAAGTGTTTGTGCTTCTTAGTCCCCAAATTAGTGAATTAATTTTTTTTTCTCTATTGAAGCATGACCAAGCATAAGGGCAAAATTGATTCATATAGTTGACCCCACTTGATTGTGACACAAGGCTTAGTTTAGTTTGGTTTGGTATATTCAACTCTTTTCTTGATATCGAGTTGTGACCAACTTTTTCATTCCAAGGAATCTATTGCTGCATTTGATATGAAAGAAAACATTGTTCTTGAAATCTCCTTTAGTGAAGTTGTTATTTGGCCTTATGCCTTCCCAAATTTCAGAGGCTTCATGTGTCTCTATCCTTTAATAGAATTGCTTAAAGTAGTTATAAATGGTCAGTATTATCAAAATTTACTAGACCATACTGATCCATGGTTAGATTCAATGTCGTCCATAACTTGGTACACTTTTCTTGCAAATACACTAAATTTGACTTCTTGAAAAGATTATCCCAGGTTTTTAACTTATGTTTGCCCTTTTTGTCAGGGTAGTATGAAATATAATGAGTACCAGAACCAGTACATATATGTTTTATTATTGAAAAGAAATTCAGTCTTGCATTGCTATTTTTGAATATACATTGTCACATATTAACTATCAATTAAGAGATACATGTCAGCTATATAAGCTTTCACTATATTTTGGGTCAAGCCATATAGTCTATATACTACTTCCTGTTTAGTATACAGTTTGATCCGTGTTGTGACTTGTGAGTTACATAATTTATGGTTCTAGTTCAAATGGAGTATGAGTTTGCTAGCAATTTATGCTCTAGAGATTATTTAGGTGCAAGTTTAATCTCTTCAACTAGGGAATTGCCAAGTTCCATCAAACACAACATTTGTGATTTATGAACAATTGGTTAATTTCAAAGAAACTTCTCCTATGGAGTCTCTCTTTGGCATTCTTTTAGGGGAAACAATATTGCAAGATTGGGAGATATAACCATCAGAGGACTATGATTATAGATTTGACTGTGATAGGAGTGAAGGAAATGGTTTCTCTTCCTTCTTTTCCTTTTCTTTTTATTTCATTCTACATTATGTTGTTTCTCTTTGTGTTTTAGTCACAGTTCATGTCAATTTGAATTTTATATCTTAGGGGGAGAAATACAAATTTTAATTTTTTTGAAGACAATCACTATTGCTTTGCTTACTATCCTCTAGTTATTTGAGTATACAACATGATATTTTCTCTACTTTGGGCTTTCTGTGGATTATTACGTTTGGAAAACTGATAATTTAAGAGTTTGCCATACATGTGCTGATTTTGCTTCCCTCACTGGGTTTTGCTTTTTGCAATTGCAGATTGAAAAACTTGCCATAATGATAGAGAAGGTTTTAAACTTACCTCAACTCACTGATCTCCTTTTTGGCATATAGACTTTGTTTGATTGTGCTCTAAACAAAAATTTCATCTCTTTCTTTGGTGTTATGGCAGAGTAAGCATCTAGTGGTGTTCACTGGAGCGGGGATATCAACCTCTTGTGGTATACCTGACTTTCGCGGTCCCAAGGGTATTTGGACCCTTCAGGTTGATATCATGAAATTTATTTTTGCATTTGAACTAATGAACACCTTGTTTGATGTGTCCAAATAAAATTGTGTGTTTTGAAAGCTAATCATACTTTGTTTCTTTAACATTGTCTTTATTGAATTGCAGCGAGAAGGCAAATCATTGCCTGAAACGCCTTTGCCATTTCATCGTGCAATGCCGAGCATGACTCATATGGCTTTGGTTGAACTAGAGAGGGTTGGTATCCTAAAGTTTGTTATTAGCCAGGTATTGCTGCACTTCCTTCTCGAACTATATACCCATATACCTTCTGCTTCCGAGAATACTTAGCATGAAGATGATTTGTTGAGGCAGTTTTTTTTTTGCTCAGTTTTTTTCCCCTTCATACTTCGGGGAAAACATAATTTTTGTTCATGATTTTTGTGGGTTTTTTAGTGGGAGGAATTTTAACTAGGATGGGTCTTTTGTTGATCTTTGTGTGTATATAATCCCTGTGTTCGAGCGTTGCACCCTCTCTGGGTCCTTTATTTGTGTTTTCTTTTTATATGTCAAAAAAAAGGGGGGGGGGGGGGGTGTTTGAAGATTTGTATAATTGTGCCATCCACTGTTCTCTTAAATAGGAAAGTTTGTCAGGGACTATCTTATCTCTATTGTTGAGATTAGGAGGTATTCTCGTGCTGTTGATAAAATTCACTTGAAGAGGAGATATCATTGCAGATTTGTGTAATTTTGCTTTTAGTGTTGTGTTCTTAAGGGTCATTGTGGAATACCTCGAAGCAATGGAAATGTTTTACGGGGGTTTTTGGGATTTTATATATCTCATAGTCCTGCTAAGCAAAAAAAATTTGAAAGCACATTAGCATCTGAATTTGGCATTCTATGCTAAGCAACTTGGCATTTTTTTAAATTCATTATTATATATGAGAATATCTGGTTTTCTGACTCCGTTGCTTAATAAAGACTGTTTTTGAATGCTAGAATATTGATGGCCTCCATCTCCGGTCTGGAATACCGAGGGAGAAACTTTCTGAACTGCATGGGAACGCCTTCATGGAATTATGCCCTTCCTGTGGAGTTGAGTAAGACTTGATCTTTATCTGCAACCTACGTTATTTAAATAGTGTCTGAAGCTGCTTCTGATTCTTCTCCCTTTTCTCTGGTGTTTTTCATTTATTTTGTGGTTACGTTAAATTTTTGCTTTAAAGTTTGGTCACTTGTTAATGTACATATTAGATTGTTACATAGTTGACTCAGTTTTCTGCTATTAAAAGTTGATCTTATAAATTTGATTTTTTGTGAAGGTATTTTCGGGATTTTGAGGTGGAAACTATTGGACTGAAGGAGACACCACGTAGTTGTTCCAGTTATGATTGTGGTGCAAGACTTAAAGACACTGTTGTTGACTGGGAGGTACTAATTTCTTGTGTTGATTGGTTGCATTACTGTTGAGGCTATTGATAGATAAATACATTTTGTTTGTTTTTTTGTTTTTTTTTTTGGGGGGGGGGGGGGGGGGTGTTTCATGTACACAATGGAAACGAAGTTAATTAATTGTAGTGCTCATAACACTCAAATGTATCTCTTTTGGTTTTAATAGCAATTCAAAGGAGTGCCATCAAATTTTTTTGAAAACGACATGGAGTAATTCTATTTCCATGTAATCCTTGCAAAGTGGCATTCTTGAGTATCCTCATGACATGGGGAACGTTTCTTAGATACTTTTTGAGATTGGTTCAATCACTGTGAAATATGTTTTTATGTTTCTTCGCTGCCTTCTTTGTAAGGTGTTAATTTAGTTCTCAAACTTTATTGCCTATATATGAGCAATTTGATGCAAAGTGGTATGTTAATAATCTATCCATCTCTCTCTCTCTCTCTCTCTGCAGGATGCTTTACCACCAAAGGAGTTGAATCCAGCAGAGAAACACTGCAAAGTGGCTGATGTTGTGTTATGCTTGGGGACAAGGTAATTTCAATATCTACTTCTTTTTTTAAATTCTTTTTGAAGTATGCCTATATATGAGCAATTTGATGCAAAGTGCTATGTTAATAATCTATCCATCTCTCTCTCTCTCTCTCTCTCTGCAGGATGCTTTACCACCAAAGGAGTTGAATCCAGCAGAGAAACACTGCAAAGTGGCTGATGTTGTGTTATGCTTGGGGACAAGGTAATTTCAATGTTATCTACTTTTTTTAAAATTCTTTTTGAAGTATGCATATTAAAGAAAGATGCCATAGTATATAAGAATTCTACAAATGAACCAAAAAGTAAAGACTCCTTCCAAAGCCAATCCCCAAGATTTAGTTCTCCTATGAAATCTACCAAAAAATTTGAAGAACCACGGGTTATCTATGACTTGATAATACAATCTCTCTCTTTTCTTCCTTAGCTCCTTGGCAAACAGTTGTGTTGTGTGTGTATTGTCCTTTCTTTTTTGTCATTCAATGATCATGAGAGCAGCTACTTTTGCAGTTTGCAGATAACTCCTGCATGCAATTTGCCTCTAAAATCACTCCGTGGTGGGGGAAAGTTCGTTATTGTGAATCTTCAGGTATTTCCTATCTGGCCATGTTTGATTCACAAGACTAATAGTGAAGGTATAAATAATCCCATTAAATTAGTGTGGTATTCACTATCCAATTGGATTAGTAGAATAAATTATCCCATTGTCCATTGTTTGATTTGCATTGAATAAGAAAACATATGAATGTAGGATTACAATTATATTTATCTTTTTTTTCAATCTTACCCTCTATCAATATTTATTAACAATATTTACTTTATCAAAAAAAATTTATAAATGTGATTTTGAAAAAAATTATAAATAAATAAATAAAAGCAAAATAAAAATACAAAATACAAAGTCATGTATGATTTGTTTTTTAATTTTTTTTTTAAATATAAACAAATTTGATAAAATAAATATCAAAAAATATTTTTAAATTTTTTAAAATTATTTTTAGCCTTCTAAAATATAAAATTATATAAAAATAATTAGTGTTTTAATTTTTAGTCAAGGGTAAAATAGTCTTTTTATTTTATTTTATTTCTCAACTTAGGATATATAATCTCACCCCTACCCTATTACTAATAATCCTACAAAATTATTGGATTAATCATCCATTGGATTAATAATCTAAAAATAAAATTTCAAAACAAACACAGGATTATTGGCCCTATAGATTAATAATCCCAATCCCATACTTTAATCCTATCAATCAAACATGCCTTCTAAGTGCTACACAGCAACTTATCAGGCCGGAAATTGCATTTGTAGCTCCATGTCAATTAAAATTGAAAGCTCTGTTTTCTTCCAATTTTTAATGCGGATGGTAGAATGGAAAATCTCATTCTAATGCATTCTTGAGTAAATCTCCAACTGTCATCCACGTTCATGCTAAAGTGGATGCCAATAGACTCTCCAGGGCTTACCATCGCTAATGGGGGTGCAGCTAACAAGACTCAAACCCCCCTTACTCCTTGCCGACCTATCTCTTACAATTATCACTTCGCAAGGTTCCTCCACTGAGGATCTGGGAGTAGTCTCCTTAGAAGCTATTTGTTGGATGTTCTTGTTGTGTTCAATTTTCCTTTTTCTCTCTTTGCCACAGAGGGTGCTTTCTCAGCCTCTAACATCAATCTCCATTTGACTCCACCACCATTACCCACTACAAAAATGGATTTATTGTTTGGATAGTTATCTTTATACTGCTTCCTAATCTCCTCCATGAAATTAAGTAGGCATTTTTTAGACCATGTCAACGCATAGGGTGCAACTTTTCATATAGAATCTAATTCTCCAATGCTGGTGTGATAGACCTTTGTTATATTTTATATTTAAGAAAAATTGAAAACCCATCAATATTTCAGTTGCCTTTTTTTTATTTATTATTTCCTACAGGAAACTCCAAAGGACAAGAAAGCAAGTTTGGTGATCCATGGGCTCATAGACAAGGTATTTTATTTTATATTTTTGAGTATATAGAGAAGTTACCCATTTCTCTTTCAGTAGAGCACAAGTCCTTTCTCGTTTATAATGCCTACTTCCATGTATTGTGTGCATAAGTTTGATAGTGTAAGTTGTAATAACAAATTGACCTTTTTTTTAAAACTTTACCATTATTAATCATACTTAGTTCATATTTTTAAAGAGTTGTTCATTACTTTGAGTAAGAACAGGTAATTGCAAGAGTCATGGACCTACTCAATCTGCAGATTCCTCCATTTGTTAGAATTGATCTTCTCCAAATCATTTTTACTCAGACCGTGAGTTTAGGTAACTTTCCAGGATTTATGACTTTGTTTGTTGAGTTTTAGGAAGTAGATGCTATTATCTCTATCATGGCTTGCCCATTGGCTTGCTAACTTGTGGCGATAAATATATGTTGCCTTGATGATCCCAATTCCATTTGTGTATGCGTATGCCCCATTTGGTTTCCTGTTGGTACACATAACGCCTGTATTTTATTTTAGAAAAGATCTCTAACCACTACAAAATTAAAGAAAATAACTTCTTTCATAATATTTTTTGGAATGCCCTTTTTTTCTTTTTATTATTATTATTTTTTCTTGAAGTTGTTTTTCAAGATTTATGCTGATTCCACACCCATCTCCCACTCTCATTGGAACAAAGATATTGTGTGTGAAATGGTTGCCTTTCATATGTTCTTTATTCTCTCTACACCATGCCAAGATGTGGTTTGCGGCTCTCACAGTCCATTCCCTTTGATTACAGATAAAAGATATATGAACTGGAACCTCAGGGTAGCAAGTGTGCATGGGAAAAACGCTCCATTGCTGTTCATCAGCTCTATTGAGGTGGTTTTCTTTCTTCAAACTGGCTATACTTGCATCCTTGAATAGTAGTATCTGATGTCACATGTTGCTAATGGACACTATGGTCTGTTGAAGGAATGGAAAATTCCTTATGTAGAAGGATGTACTTGTCAATATACAAAATTGCAAGGGTATTCATATACTATTTTCCCCTCACTTGGTTTCAAGGGTAAAATCCACTTTTCACTCAAATTTTACTTTGGTCCTCATCTTTCAGTTGGAACAATTATGTCCTCAGATTTCTACTTATGTCTCAATGTGGTCCTTTTGTCAGTTACTGTTAAAAATTTGGATGGAAAGTGCTCACATGAGAGCCACATGAGCACATTTTAGGGGCATTAGAGGAAAAAAATTGTATGGCAAATTGGACTTTTCACCCTCCAGCTCACTTAAATTCCATTTTGATCCCTCCTGTTTCAAATTTCAAACGGTGGGGTGATGGGAGGACCACATTGAAATATGGGTTGAAGTCTGATGTCTTAATTGTTGCAATTAGAAGATGACAGTCCAAAGTAAAATTTGGATAAAAATTTGAGGGTGAAAAGTGTAGTTTACCCTTGATTCAGTTCTGCAAACACTGATTAACTTCTGCATGTAGTTTTCCTCAATTATGTATCGCCCTTGCTGGCACCTTTTAACTTGACATGAGGCTAACCCGTCTGCTGTTTTTGCATCCCTAGGTTTCGTTCTCTGAAGGGCTAAACATGAAAGAAGCGTTTCTACATAAACAACCACTTCGGCTAAAAAGGTAGTGCCAGTGTCACTCATTTTCTATGCTTTTAGCACATAATATTGCAGTGGTTCCCAAACTTTGAGCAGCGATGCAACTTGGAAATGTTTGTTGGCAGTGTTTATCGGCCTTACAAATGAATGGAACAAACAATTATTTTAAAATAATATGCACGATGCATAGATTGAGTTTAACAATGTATAGTTTGTTATATTAGCATATTGGAGTTATAAAATGGTATATGCTGTATATGTCTTCGTTTTCTTCTAATTCATTTGTTCTGATTGTAATCATACATCAGGAGAACACTGACGACGGCAAAACCATTTGATGTTCTTTTGAAACTCAACTTCAGTGACGGTTGTGGGTGTTCATACACTCGAATTAAGGTTCCGGTTGATTTTCAGGTGAGGAGTTTTTATTATTATTTTACATTTATAACCCCACTCCACCCCACCCCACCCCAATGCGTGCACTTTTCTCATTTCTTGAGGCTTAATAGGATCAACTTACACAAGCAGAATGTCCATCCCATGATTATCTAGTACTGCAAACTTTCTTCTTGACCCCTTTTTTTTCACCATTAAATAACATGCAACCTTATCATTTGGCTTAAGTAATTCGACTTCAATGTGTATGATACAATAATGTGTGAATTTGTTCATGAGTTCAATTGTTCTGGTTCTATTCTGCAGAACTAGATTTATGATGTGCTCTGTTATTTATTTATCAATGCTTCTAGCCCTAATTGGAAGGAAGAACTAAAACACACCTGTTTGGTTGTGTTTCTGTTTTTTTTTTTTTAGCAAATTGTTTTCGAAAACTGTTTTTGGGATTTTTTCATAAGAAATATTGAATAGTTGTTTTTGAATGTTTGACAACTGTTTTTGCATAAAGATTAAAACGATATGGAAACAATGGCCAAAATTTTGTTGTGTTTATTTCTGAAAACACAGAAGGGAAAAAAGAAAAAAAAACAAAAGCACAACCAATTAATTGTTGAATTCCTTTACGATTAATTCCCAAATTCCATGTCATTTATGTGCTAAACAAATCGTAGACTTCAATTTATATTACTGAGACTCTGATTTTTTATTTATTTTTTTCTGTTCTTTTTCACATTTGGAATATGTAGGTCAAGAAAAAAAAAATATTGATAAAATGATTGCCATCATATGATCAGGTTTTGACTTTTGATCCCATTGTTCATGCCTCTTCAAAATATGTTTGGTTACTCTGCAGGTTTCAATGGACTGCTGTAACTATAACAAGGATGCCACATTCGAAAAATTGAGAGAGAGAGCTATCCGAGATCTGCGCTGTGGGCGCAATGCACTTATCGAGAAACAAGTCATTATAACTCCTAAAAGCGAGACTATGGTCTATGCAACTGTAACCAACATTCTTGTATATGAAAAAACTTCTAAAGCATTGGAAGCTGCTTCTCAAAGTAATGGTGGTCCAAAAAGGCTACAGAACGGTGTAAATGGGATCGAAACATCTCAGAAGCGACAACGAAAAGGGCATAAGCGTAAAGTAGACGCTAAACAATGAAGTGAGTGTCATTTCAGTTTTTGTGTAAATACTGTCTACTAGAAATGCAGGTACAGAAATATGTGTATTGGTGAGGACTGACTGAATTTTGTTAGATAATACACTCTTGTATCTCCCCAGCTACATTAGGAAAATGGGAATTTGGTTACCAACAACCCAACTTTTGTAAACTTTTGTAAGTTGAGAAATCTGGAAATTGTGTTTCACAATGGCCATTTTGTGAGAGTATCTGGTTTTCTTTTCTCAACGAATTGAGTTGTGTGCTCCTTTGATTCTGAGAATTTTAGGAATGGCCGTGGTGGTGGCTGGTAACCAAGTTTGAGGGACCAAAGAAAAATATGAGAAAGAGGAAGGTTTTTTGGTTGAGAGGAGAAAGAAATTGGTTGAAGTTGTCAGAGCTTCCCTGTCATTTGTGCCCACTGTAAAAAACCCTAGATCAATAGGCCATGGTAAAAATACAAAATTGAGGACCTAAACGATGTGCCATCATTTTCAATTGAACATGGGCTTTTGTTACATATATTGGGAGCTAATCTGCCAATATCTGCCCAACACTTTTGTTACATACAACAAAGTGTTATAAGTTTTACATATATATATATATATTCATATAAAGTGAAATTTCGAGGGCATTTGTCGAATTGAAACTAAATGGAGAGCAATTAGTATTGATTTAATATTGACTTTGCATGATTTCTGTTATTACAACTCCTCCAAGAAATGCATAGTATGAATCTCACAAAATAAAGATCTGAAAAACCTGTTGTGGAATGTCCAGTATCAATGCCTATGCTATCATGACCATTAGACTGTGGAGTCCAAGTACAGACGGTGCTGTTTGATATAATTAATCACTTCATCAGCCGTTAGATATTTTACTGACAACCCTCTCAAAATGCAGTCCCTGGTATACATGATAAAATAAAATAAAAAATGAATAAATAAATAAAACGAAGTGAGTCCTTGCCAGAAACCCCACAACACCAAATCTGTTTACCTTACTCGTGTTGAACTGATCTGGTTTGGTACAAGTTCATCAACAACTTTGATGTTAGTCTGCAGTAATATAAACAGTAAAGGCGATATGTAAGCCAATGATTATGAAATATTTATGTACTGAATCTTCTGATAATGGAAAATCACTAGGGAATGTTCCTTCCCATTTGGTGCAACACTCCGAATTTCGATAAATTGAATTTTTTTCCGAAATTCATTGCCTGAAAATTAGACGACTACCAACCTTTTTTAATTACATGGTGAATTAATATCTCGTCCTAGTTTCAAAGCCTTGATTTGATCAGAGCATTAGTCCAGTAAAAAGAATAATAGAAACAGCGAAACAACATATCTATCAAGAAGAAGAATAACAACCCAAGGAACTTGAATTACCTTGTACTCATTTAAAATATCATCATTAGAGATAACTTTCTCAATATCCTGACCTTCTCTGTGAATGCAAACCACACCAAAGTCTCTACATAGAGTCCTCACCTGAAAATACAAAATATGCGCATTTGGATCAATTATAATATGCAGCTACTCAATATCAAAATATGAAGCACACACATCTCTCCAAAGGCCAGAATTCGGACAAACTTTTGTTGAACATGCTCCAAACACATAGGAGGAAGTGTCCCATTTTTTTTTTCTTCTTCACAGAATTAGCATACGCAAGGTTGATAAATTTGATGAAAATATATAAAGTTACATGTTTTGCACGTGTCATGTCGTGCAGTGCATTTTTTGAAAATTTCACATGTCCTTGTCCATGCTTCTTCAATATCAAAAGGCTCAAGCATTCCACTATCACCAGATCTTTTCATATGAAGGAAATAGTGTGCTCTCCTCTGTGGGTTATATGTTTATTACTTGTGTGTTCATATTGCCATTGATTACTTTCTTGAAAGCAAATTATCCAAACCTCATATGTAATATGATCATGGTGGTTTATAGATACATTGTAGAGCATTACTTCAATATCTAATTGCTCACATTGGCGTAGCATGGGGTTTAGTTTTATGGCATTACCGTCCCTCACTGGAAAGTGTAGTAGCACGGTAAAAGGGCATGCCATCTAAATGGTAGCAAAGTAGTAGCTATCTTAACATCAAATTTTATGCAACAAGATCTTACCTGCTCAGGAATCCAAGCTCCGGGAATGCTAAAAGATTCTAGCAGATCAGAACCACAAACAAGCATGACCTTTAGGGATTCTATGAGCAGGAAAAGAGCAAGTTATAGAATTGCCATCAATTAGACCCAAAAAACATAAAATTAAAAATAAAAATAAACAACTTAAAGATACTAATATACGAATAAAGAGGTAGGACTTGAATTGCCTAATCTGAGTCCAAAGTGTCATGCGGACAAGAGGACTGCCAAAATAATAAAAATAAATAAATATGGGTTGATGTACAAGAGACAACATGATGGCTTTGGACTTAACCAAGGAAACACCTTTACATAGAGCCTACTGCACTAGACAGATCCATGTTGTAAAACCCAGGTAATTGGGATTAATGCTCCGTAGTTCAAAAAAAAAAAGGAGTAAGGCTCCGTGAGTTGAACTAAGAATAGCATAAAAACCAATGCTGGCAAATTGAGTGCCATCAAACAGGGAAGAAATTTGAAATCCATAAATTACAACACTCATAGTCATATATATTCACAACACATAAGGTATTGTTAAGCAACAAAGTCCATTTTTCCAAATTCAAACTTCAGTTTGCTAGATGATAAAGCATTCCTTAGAGACCATCAAATAACTGACCATAAAGACCAATTTCTCAAATACCAAAGAAGAAAAAGACGAAGAAAGCTAATTTCTAGTGGACCTCACCTCCAGAGATCCTTCCACTGTCACACAAAGAACTTTTGATTCTACACAAAACAGTCAACGTGCGTTGGAAGGTATCTTGACTGGCCTAGAACAAGGATTCAATACTTCCAAATCAATTTGTAGAGCCAATAAATACATGGAAATAGAGGTTTAGATGCATGAAAAACATAATGAACAAAAGAAAAACGTAATTGCAAAACTTCATAATTTTTAGGAGGTATACATCAAATTCACAGAGAGAAAAAGATACCTCCCAGGGATCCACCATTATAAACTCTGAACTTCTGCAAGCCAGATGACACATTTCAATACGATGTTTAGCAGATATGAGGCTCTGTAAAAAAGATAACCACTTTGAGCAACCACTTTATTTGAGAGATGAAGTCGTATTTAATGGAGGGACATCTAATTAGTATAATTGCTGTCTACTGGCAGATTGATAACTGCATAAGCACAAAATGGTTATAATTATCATGTGAAAGACAACTTCCCTATCAGAGAATAGATTCAAAAGAAAATTAGCAAATTCAGTAAGAAATATTATTATTTTTTTAATTCTCAAACATGGGCTGACTATGTGAGAAATCCATATGGCTGGCAGTTCTTAGGTAAAACAATTGGAAACATTAACCCTTCCCTGCCGTTGCCAAGGGTTCATAGAATGAAGGGTGTATACAACTGGTGTGAGAGGCAGCTAGAGCAGTAGAGAGCTGAGGAGCAAGGAAGTAGATAAGATAGAAGAGTCCAAGATTGTTAAAGTTGAGTGCAGGGAAGGGACCTTCTGAACTACCAAGTCATAATGAGATTAAGAAGCAAGTAATATCTCTCCAGACTCCACCACTTCAACATGGACACATCACATCAAACTCCATGGACCATGACATTGTGGACAGCCTCTCAACAATTTTTCAATACTACACAAATAAGGTAAACACTTACTTCTGTACTTTGCATGTGCCTGGAAAATTATAAATATGAATTTTTTTTCTAAAGCATCCTACATGACGATAAATCCCAGCAACAATAAGAAAAATAAACATGATTACAAGGATAAAGACGGAATGCAGAGACTGAAAGAGGAGATCACTCCAAGAATTAAAAAAATACATATAATTGGAACTTTAGAAAGGGAGCAAGAGGAAAATCCACCAATTTATTCCTCGAATTCTAGAACCAAAGGGTAAATTATGAGGAGCTATTTGGTTGATAAAGGTGCAGAGATACGCCAGAGAACATTCTAATTCCTTTTCCTTCTTTATGTCTTCTTATCTCCTTTTTTTAACCTTTGTTTCTACTAAACTTAGCTTCTTATCCATCAACCAAAAAGGAAGAGGGGGTTGGTAAAATGCCCATTGTTATTCATATGCTGATATCTCAAAAAAAAATTTAATGGGGCACAGAAAACATGATGCTACATAATTTTATGTTAATGTACACCTAAACCTACTCCACTAAACCTAACCCAACCACCAATGACACAGAATCCTTCGGAGTTTAGAGCATCTCTTGCCAGCTCTGAGCAAAAAAGAAAATTCAATGAACACTTGTTAAACATTTACAGCAAATTAAATCATATATTCCATCATTTTCATTTACATATCAGTTGCACAGTTATTAGTTCAAGAATTTGGAGTTGGATTCTTTTACTTAATATCCTAAACCAGTTAACAATGGGAATGAAGGAACGGGCAATATCATTTTCACAAGGAACAGAAAAAGGATTCCAATTTGTTAAGTGTCATGTTTGAAAGAAAGATTTGAGGATAATGCCAGGGGTATGGAACCAGTTTATACTTTATACCAAAACAATACTTCTCTTGGCCAACTAAATAATTTTTTGGACAAAAATAACAAATAAAGCATTTGTCAACACTGGTTATGTTCAACCTCGTGATCGCAATTTTTTTCAACTGCACAACCAATACTGAATGGAACAAAGATCCATTAATTAGATTGACTTCATTAACATATGTTCATGATGGATTTGGTTTAATGTTTCCAGAAAGCCAGGTCCATATATTGGGAGAATCTTTACTTGTGCCTTTTATATTTGACTTAGGAAAAGAACAGGAAGAACCAACAGACAGAAGCACAAATGCTCCAAGAGATCCATGACTGCTGGAAAGTATACGACAAGCGAATTGCTTGACTGGATGACTATTGACCTAGAAACTTATGCTTTTAGCACATGATCAGAAATTCTTTTGTGCCTTCCAGTCATGAAATCATCTCAATGAATTTATTTTTTTATTTTTATTTTTTTCTTCTTCAATGGGCATGATATATCATCAAAACTAGTACAAAATTTAGCATCAAATGTGCAGAGTAGCATATGATTTTCTCTTTACTTCTCTTCATTATGTTACTTGATACAGTATCCAGTCTTTATAAATGACAGACAATAAAATTGTAAGGGTCAAGGCTCGTTTGCTTATACAACTAATTTGCTCCCAACATTCTAAACTTAGACTTCATTGTTAAAATGCAAATCAAGTTTATGGAACAACTTACCAAAAATGCGCAAATGCATATAAGTAGGAGGATTAAAACTTCCAGTTGATACTAAAACCACATACGTTGTGTCCCTGATAGAGAAACAGAGACAGTGATGAAAGTGAGTATGTTTTACATAGAACCAAACAATAAAAATAAATAAATACGACTCCTACTGAGTATGCTCTATTGAATCCATGTGTGTATATTAGAGAATTGCAATACTACATCTTATCTATACTGTCAATCAAGAAAAAGGGTGTCTTTGAAAAATGAAGATTAATATGTATAAAGCCCTGCGTATGATTATGACCAGTCAGCTTCTTCTCTGGAATTATATTTAGCTTACTATATTTCACATCTAATTTTTTTCCAAAAGGTCCCATATGATTCTATTAAAAACTACGCTTCCTCGAATTCTATTAAAGAACCAATTGTGACTAGTCCAGTTGGTCAGAATCCTTTTGCACCTTAACCTCACTAGTAGATTAAGGTTAACTGTAATGAAGGTAAAATGGAATGGAATAGATATAGAATGACCATTCCCTTACAATATTGAATGATAGATTCCATTTACAACGCATTTTTCCATCATTTTTTAATAAACCAAATGGGAGAATAAACGTTATGATCACCGTCGTTTGAATGAAGGGTTATGATCATTAATAAACCAAATGGGTTCAATTACAGGCAAACATTGTCAGCCACACAGCCCTCATCCACAGGAAACAATAGATGAAAATTCAAGCAATTTACCAGTAAAATAAAACATATAAATGAAAATGATAGAGCGATCGAACATTATCAAACATCTAAAGAATAAACTTACTTGGGTTGTGTTTTGGGTGATTCCTCTAGTTCTACTGATCCAATAGATAATTTATCCATTGGTAATCCAATATTGATATTACCTGAAAGTTATAATAAAATTAGAATAATAATTGGCAGCAAAACTTGCAGTTCATCACTTCAGTTCATAATCAAATAACAACCAACAAACGAGAATTAAAATTAAAAATTAAAAATATATATATGTGTGTGCTTTTTGCAATTGTCTGTACTGAAATTGGAAATTTAAAGGAAGAGCCACATCGCATTATGTATATCCAGTGGATGTTTACTTCTTTATTAACAGGGAATTTAGCAAAGATTAAATTTTGCGTCTGTTGAGTATGGTGAAGTCAATGCAGTGTGATCGGAGAAACATTTTCAAATTCATGTTCTCATACAGAAAGAGAGAGAGAGAGAGAGAGAGAGGGGGGGATCAGCAGAGGCAAAGAACATTTTTGGACAACAGAGAGAGTAGAGTAGAGGCGGAGATTCTCAGTTTTGATCTTGGATGGAACTCTAAAAACGTAATAAATCAAGTTTCCAGGAAAACGCCTTTTTATTTTTTCTAGCGTGCCAAACGGGAGCTCCGGAGGAGACGTGGTGTTTGACACGGTCGTTTTCCCGGCGTGAGCCAAAGGCAAATTTTACCAGCAACTCTCAATAATCAAGGTAAAGGAAAATTCTATCTCTTTTATGATTCATCATTTTCTTATTTTATCCTTTATAATTTTTTTAAAATTAATTTTTATTTAAAATTAACCAAAAAATATCATAATAATTGTTACATTATATGAAATAGAAAAATGCTTGAGAGCACTAATTAGTGCTCCCACTAATTAGGTGGCAGTGGGTTCCGCCATTAATGATGTGATGTTTTGGTCTTGGAGTTGTATTTTTTTTTTTTTTTTTACTTTTTTAATGCATTAGTGCTATTAGTGGTGATGTTTTTAGTGGGATGAATCATTGTTGATTTTAGTCACAAAAGACAAAATAGGCTATTTTAGTCACAACAAACAAAACATCACATCCAATCCATAATCATTACAAAAAAAAAAAAAAGTCAAAAAAACTAAAAAGTCAAAAAATTCTTTCCAAATCAATCTTTTTAGCCCAGGCTAAAATAGCCAAAAAAGCCAAAAAGTCAACCCATTTCCCAAACCAACCCTAAGTTTATGTTAGATATGCGAGTTATATATAATAAAATATTTTTATACTATATGACTATCAATATGTCATTTTTTGTTTAATTTTTAACAAAAATTAATTTAGGAATAAATTAGAAAAAAAAATTGAAATATGAAATACCAAAGTGAAGAAAAAAAAAAAAAACTTCAAAGACTAAAGTAAAAAAAGTTACTAAACATAAAAGGGATAAAGTGTAATTTACCCAAATGGTAAATTACAAACTCTATGAGATTTTTAAAAAATTAGAGTAAACTTGACACTAAATTTTTTTAAAATTTTAATTTATATAACACTTTGCACTATTTTTATTAAAAATTTGTTAATTGTATAAACAAAAAAAATGATATTATCGTATTTTTATATTGAAATTTATGTTTCATATTATATATCAGTCTGTTTTAATTTTAGTAAATGGAGGTTATCGTATATATAAAAATTATAAAAACTATAAAATTTAATATATTCTGTATACAGAATTTTGATGAATGTTGTAATCATTTCATTTTTATTCAAATTATTTATTACTATTTTTATAATTTTACAAATGTCATTAACCGATTATAAATATATTTTTTACATAACAAAATTATTTATAAAACATATTTACAAAGTAAATTGTAATCATACATTATATTTATAAAAAATAAAGATGACCTCGGCACAACGACCAAGACACGTGGCACCTCGGCTAACACGTCGGCGTCACCTTGCCACGTGTTGGTACTCAGAAAATATATCCCCACAATAGCGAATAAAAACAGTCAATTTACAACCCAAAAAAAAAAAAATTATAGACAATTTATTAAAATTTTATAATCACAAAATAATTGATTTAATTTTTTTGTTTTTTGGGTCCCATTTCTTGTGGCCACCACTTACCTACCGATCATCACTATTATCCACATCTTGTTTGGGTAGTGATTTTTTTAATTAAAATAATAAAAAGGTCAAATTAAATGATTATATGGTTATTTTTAATTTTCTATACGTGCTTTTATAAAAAATAAAATAAAATAATTAATTTCTAAACGAGTTGATTTGTTAAATACTTTTATGATCTCGTTTGGAAAGTTAGTTATTTTAATATGTTGTTTTAGTTTTTAATTATTTTAATAGGTTAAATTTTTTGTGTTTTGAAAGATTGTTGAATTTTTTTATAGCTAAATATGATATTTGTGAGAAAAAATTTAAATGATTATGAGTTTAATATGACATTTTATTTTATTGATTATTTTATTCCTTTTTTTTTTTGTAGATTATAGTTTTTAAAAAAAAAACAAAAAATCACTTGCCAAATAAAGCCTAAGTGTTAGGAGTGGCAACTGGCCGGCGCGGGGACAGGGATTACACTCCCTGTCCCCGATCTCTGAAGATAAAAAAATCTTTTTTCATTTAGGCTTTGCCCCAAAACTTATCCAAACAGGTTATTTCTAGGAACGGCAATGGGCCAGGGCAGGGCCGGGGATCACACTCCCCATCCCCGATTCTCGATAGGGAACCTATCACCGCCCTCACCCCCTAACGGGGATCAAGTTTCCTCGACCCCAAAAAATTCCCAACTCTTTTTTTTTTAATTTTGAATTTTGTTCAACACAATAACAACAAATAAATTTAATATATTTTCAGTATGTTTCATCATCATCATCATCAACAATCATCAACAACTTTAAATATATATATGTGCGTGTGTGTAAAACAGTGTAGATCTATTCATTAACAACAACTAAAGATTTGTTTACTACACACACAAAAGATTTGTTTATTACACACACACACACACACATATATATATATATATGTATCTATTAGATCTAAGAAAATCCTTATAGAAAAAATATATATATAAAAAAAAAAAGATCCGAGAAAGCCTAAACAAAAAAAAGTTATTATGCAAACCTTAACAAAAAAATAAATAAATTGAGTTGTTCTTACAAATCAGATCAGAGGGAGAGAGAGAGATCATCGTCGAAACTTTATATCAGATCTTCAAATTTTCAGATCTCTTGGTCAGTTGTGGTGGTGGATCTGGATCTTACGGCTGAGCAGCTCCAGCGATGAAGGTTCAGTTGGTGGTGAGAGAGATTATCGTTGTCAAAGTCAAGGCAATAGGCGGAGGCGATGGAAGAAAGAGAAGGGAGGAGAAGAAGGTTACCATCGGAGACTAAGCCGCCATCAACAAGATAGCAGACGGAGGTGATAGAATAGAAAGAAGATGAAGAGAATAGAGATAAAAGGGATGGAAAGAGAGAGATGAGAACGGTTTGAGGCCTATGTGAGTGTATGAGGTTGTGTTAGGATTTGATTTATATATATAGGGGTATAATGGCAATTTTAGTTTCGGGGAAACAGGGACGGGGACAGGGTTAGGGAATGTATCACCATCCCTGACCCGAAAATTGTCAGGGATTCATTTTCGAATACCACCCGACCAATCGGAGGGTATTTTTTGAGGAAAAACCGTTCTAATCGAGGTCGGGGGCTGGGTTCAAATTGCCATCTCTACTAAAGTGTTGACAATTACTTCTCACTAATGAAAACTTTCAATTATCACATTTAACAGTTGACAATTATGGCATATTTTAGCAATTGGATTTAAAACTAGTTTTCTTGATTTTTTAAAAATATTTTAAGTCACATTATCTCCCTATTTTTTTATATATTTTTTTCATAAAAAGTTAAAAATTAATTTTTAGCGTACTTCTTAAAATAGACCCATCTCAGACAAATATTTTAATTTTAATTTTTTTTGTCGAAAATCACTTATGACAAAATCACCATTTATAACCGCTGACAAAACAATTTTAACCATCACATCTTCTATTTTGTTTTCCAGAATAAAATTTTAAAACACATATAACTAAACATATTTTTATTTTGTTTTCATAAAAAAATAAGTAAAAAATAATTCAGTTTGTTTGGTTTAAGTTTTTTGAATTTTGTTTTTTAAAAATTAAATTTTTTGTATTTTTTTGTTTTTAGCAAATATTTTTAAAATTTAAGCTTTTTTTTTTTACTATTTTAGATGCACCTTATTTAGATGTATCTAAAAAATATAATATTTATGAAAAAAATTTGGGCAAATTACAAATAAAAGCCCAAGGTTTAACGTGTTTTTCAAATTAAACCCCAGGTTTTTAATTTTGACAATGTGAACCACGTAATTCATTCTGTGTCACAATGTAAGCCTCCGTCCATCTCCGTTTCATGAAGTAACGAAGAAAGCCATTTTTGGCGCCTAAACCAACCCAAAACGACGTCGTTCATTATTTGACCCATATAAAAACCCCCAAATCCTTAATTTTACCAATTAGGGCTACAATTTGCCCCAATTTCCCTCAATTTCTTCGATCTCATCGATTTAGGGCAATACGAACAACGAATCCACTGCTGAACGAATCTCCATTTCAGCCATTACGAAATATGAGTGAAGGAAACAGCTGGTGTGGAAACAATTGGGGTAAATCGACTCGTTGTAGTTGTGGAATGAGAGCAAGAATCCGAACTTCATGGACCCATGCGAACCCAGCTAGGAGGTTTCTTGGTTGTCCAAATTATGGAGTAAGTTTTCCCAGTCCCGTGAATAATATGAAATTTGTACTTTATTTATCTAATTTAATTTTTTTTTTTCCAGAAAACGGGGCTTGTGGCTTATTCTATTGCTATGATCCACCCACTTGTCCTCGTGGTAGACAAGTGTTTCCGAAGTTGGTGGACGAGGTTGCAAGCTTAGAGGAAATGGTAACTCAGATTGCAAGATTAAAGGAGGATGTTCAAACTTATCGCCGTAGACAGAAATGGATTGTAGGTGGATTGATTGTTACAGTGATTGTAATTGGAATGTTGGAATATAGGTTAGTTAGTTAGTTAGTTAGCTAGCTAGGTAGTTAGCATTGCTGGTTTATGAAATGTAATGCAGCTATGCACTTGCCAATGTGAACTTAATGTATAATTTTGAATGAAATGATAAATCCTTGTTTTGTTTGTAATGTATGTTTGGATTGTGGTAATGTTTGTTTGGTTGTATATATTTTGTTTGTTTGGTTGATAAATGATGCTCTGAATGTGTTTGACAAAATGTCCAAGAGAAGGGAAAACATATTACGACCTTGCAAAAACATAGTTGTTTGGGGTGTCCTAAATAAGTGCATTTTTTGTCTTTTTTGGCTAAAAAGTTGAGGGAAAAAATATAGATGTTTGGGTTAACTTTTTTGACTTTTTATGAAAAAATGTGTATTAAAAAATTGTATAAATTAGTGTATAGGGAAAAATTAAGATTGAGAGTTGTGCAGCCGTACTTTTTGACTTTTGGTGAATAGTGATAACTTTTTAACTTTTTGAGTAATTTTTTGGCTTTTTTTCAACTTGCCAAACTTGGCCTAAAAGCCATTGTTGAACCTATTTCAAACCAATAGACAGCATTGTTCTAAGCATGTAAAAAACCAAGCATGTCAAAAACAGATTAGTAAGCATTGTTTAACATGCTCCAAA